CGGGGGGGGGGGGTGGGGTTCTGGGGCAGGGCAGGGAGGGCTGGGTCTCGCCAGTTGCTGGGCAGGGCAGGGAGGGCTGGGTCTTGCCGGTTGCTGGCTGGGCGGGCGTGCAGGAGAGGGAGGCCGAGGAGGGGAGGCGTGCAGGCAGGTAGCAGCCGGAGTGACGCGGCGTTTTCTTGTGGCGCCACCAGTGCTAGCACCCTCCCCTGTACCGCCACCCCCCCACACATGCAGACGGCTACTACCCCGCTCTGTTCACCGAGGTGGCTCAGAACTATACCGTGCCGCACCGCCCCGGCGCCATCGACACGCGGGTCGCCAAATACCTCGTGGGTGGGTGCCTCGGGCGCGGCTGGGGCGTGTGTCCATGTGCCCATGTGTGCATGGGCGGGCGGGCGCGGAGCGTGTGTGTGGGTGCCGGGGCGTGGCGGTGTGTGTACATGTGTGAAGGGGGAAGGTGCAGCTGTTGGGGATGTGGCGTCCCCGAGGGGGCTCGCCGCGGAGCGCGGCTGGCCTGTGCTGGGAGGGAGTGCCTCCTCGCCTCCTCCCGTCCCAGGGCCTTGGTCCTGCTGCGGCAGGCCCCCCAGCTGCCTCCCTGCCCCTCCCAAGCCGCACCTGCCCTGCCCCTGCCCCGCCCGCCGGCCCCTGCAGCCGCGTACGGCGACCGCGCGGGGGAGGTCACGCGCATCGCGGAGCAGCGCAGGCTGGGGAAGCGCATCGTGAGGGGGTACCCCATCCTGGAGGCGGAGGTGGTGTACGCGGGTGAGGGGCCTGTGTGTGGGTGACACAGCACTTGTGGGTGTGGGTGTGGGTGTGGGTGCGGGTGTGGCGCTTGTTGTTGTGGTGGTGGGGTGGTGTGGCCGGTGTGAAGCTTCTGGGGTGAAGTGCACGAGCCGCTTGGCCGCGCTCAGCCTCGCCGCCGTGCTCGCCAGCTGCGCCCTCCATTCTCGCAGTGCTGCTACAGCGAGTGGCACCCACTCACTCACACACACACGCACTCCCTGCCTCCCCCTCCCTCCCTCCCTGCTTTGCGATCCGCCCCTGCCTCCCTGCAGTACACAGCGAGTACTGCGAGACCCCCGAGGACTTCATCGCCCGCCGCACCCGCCTCGCCTTCCTGGACAAGCTGGCCTGCGAGCAGGCGCTGCCAAAGGTGGGGGGAGGGCGTGTTGGACGGCTGCTGTCACAGCTGCTGCTGCTGCGCTTTTGCGGCAGCTGCTGTCGGCGTTGCTGCGGTGTTGGTATTGCCTCTGTGAACCCGATGACGGGGCACAACACAGCAATGGGTCCCTCTGCGCGCCTTCCGCCTGTGGCAGGTGGTGGAGCTGATGGCGGGGGAGAAGGGGTGGAGCCGGCGGCGGGCGGCGGCCGAGCTGCAGCGGGCGCTCGCCTTCCTGAAGACCTTTGATGCCGAGGCCACGAGGTAACCAGCCCCCAGTGTATCAATCCATCGCGACCTGTATGTATGCTGTACAACACCAGGTGCCTTGGTTCAGCGCCGCACATGGCGCATTTAATGGAATTACAGGCATGGACAATCACAGGCTCAATTCCAGCGATGGCCATGCATGCAACGACAGCTGCTGGCTCAAGCGCAGCTACGGGCGGGCCTTGTTGAGCAGGCGGGAGCCTGGGGCCGCCGCGGCCTCAGCGGGCATGCCGCTCGCCGTTACAGCGGGCACCCAGCGCGCCACGAAGAGCTGCTTGTCGGCTGCGGAGGCGCCGCCCACGCCATAGCCGGCCAGGCCCTCGGAGGAGGAGGCCATGAGCAGCTTGCGGCCCAGTGAGGTGCCGTCGGCGGCGCTGGCGCTGCATGAGGGGGCGGAGGCGGGTGCGGGCGGCGTCAGCACGTTCGCAGCACAGGCCCTCGCATGCAGAAATTTTAGTGCGGTCTGAGAGGCGGGGCCGCTGACGCTGCTAACCTGGCAGCCGGCTGGAGAGCGAGCGCCACGAGCGCCAGCGCCAGGAACATGCGGGCAGCCTTCATTGGTGCTGATTGGGAAAATGTAGCAGCTGCTAAAATGTGAGAGCAAAGTTGAGCAGAACTGGCTTTGAGTCGCCCCTTTATGCCTGCCCAAACCTCTGCCTTGGGTAACTCAGCACGAGGCAGGCGTGCCTCGGGTGCCTCAGCCGGTGCACCCCAGAAAAGCAACGTGCGCCTGCCTTCCAGCGCACGCTGCTGAGGCACGTGCCTCCTTACAAAGCGTGTATAATGCAAAGCTGCTCAGTCTCCAGAGGAGGGGCATTAGAAGAATGCACAGAGCGGTGCAGCGGCCCCGCCGGGCCCCGCCCGCCCCACGGCGGCGCCGCCCGGCAGTGGTCGATTCGATTCGCGTAGCCGCCTTCGCGGATTATCAAGGCAGCACAGAACGTGCCCCAGCACCCACCAGGGTTCTGAACCCTATGCCGCCGGCGGGTACATGCCACCGCCTGGGCCATGGCCTGTTCTTCCTGGATCTCATGTCTTGGGACATCAATGGATTGAAGGGGTCTTGCGCGCTCCGGGCCGATGGGCCAAATCCGCCCATGCGGATTTTTGAGTGGAGGCGGGAAAGCACGCGGAAAGGGACGCCCACGACCCTCAAAGCGCCGTGTTCGCCGCATCAATCTTATCAGCACCACTTGCAGCATCATTTCCCTGCCCCCCTCCCCTCCGCAGCGGCCCCTGTCCCCACTGCAGCCCCTCCACCATGCAGGCCAGCGGTTTGAAAATGTGCGGCCTGGTCGCGCTCGTCCTCTGCTCCCTGACCGTGGGCGCCCAGGCCCAGAAGTGGACGGCCGTGCTGGAGGCCGCCAACCAGGTGGGCAGCTTGGTTGGGTGTGTTCAAGATCGATGCCGTGTTTGATGCGCTCACAGCGGCTTGCAGGCGCCGTGCGGGCTTCGCTGGGCTGCGGAGGAGCTGCGGGCATGGTGCAGGCCATGGGGAGGCCCGCAGGATGGGACGCCACCACTTGATAGTTGCCGCCGCCCACCTGCGCCCGGCCCCGGCCGCCACCTGCAGGTGCCCCCTCTCACGGAGGGCAACGTGGGCGGCGCCACCGGCACCTTCACCCTCGCCTTTGAGGGCGAGACCGCGGAGTGGACCCTGGACGTGACGGGTGCGTGAGGAGCACGCCGCCACTGGCGGCAATGCCATCGCGGCCGCCCGCCGCTCCTCCTGCCGCTCCCCCTGCCTGTTCAGCCAAACCCGGCACACCACCCGCACTGAGCCCAGCCTGGTCCGATGCCCTGCTGCCCTGCCCGCAGACGTCAAGCGCATGACCATGGCTCACATCCACTTGGGCAACGCCTCCACCAACGGCAACCCCATCGTCATCCTGCTGCCCATCGGCGGCGTGCTCTCCGTGCGTGTCCCTTTCTGCTGCGTCTTCGCGCCACGCAGCCGCCAGCACTAGTGGTCGCCACCCGCTCCTCGCCCCTGCACTCCACCCGTATCGCTCTACGCTGTCCCCAGCTCCCCCATGCTGCCCCGCCTTTAATAACCATCGTTAGTGGCCCCTCTCCTCTGTCTCCGCAGGCTGAGGGCCCCCCCGTGCTTGCCGATCCCATCATCGGCGACTACAGCGTCTCGTAAGTGCCACCAGCACCGCCGCGCACGCCGGCGGTTGCTGCTGCTGCCCCGCCTCCTTTCTTCCTGCCGTGATCGCGCCGCGTCCCCGGTTTCCTCCATCCGTGTTTCTGCCACCTCCATCCGCCTGACCTGACTGAGCCACCCCCGTTTCCTCCCCCCTCCCTCCCTCCGCAGCGGCAACTTCACCACCGACGACTTTGTGACCAGCGCCGAGGGCTGGAGCTGGGATGAGTTCATCGCCGCCGCCGACACCGACAACCTGTGAGCGCCGCTGCCTCTGCCTGCCGCCGCTGCCTGCCTTGCTGGCCCGCCTGCCGCGCCACCGCCCTGGCGGCCGTGCCTGCATCGCTGCCGGGCGCTTGCCTCGCCTGCCGGTGCACCCCCGTTCAGCGCACCGCTGCTGGGCCCGGTGTCCCTCCTCCTCACTGGCCCGCATGCTTCATCACCCTGCCCCCGCTGCAGGTACGTCAACATCCACACCAAGAAGTATCCCAATGGTGCCATCCGCGGCCAGCTGATCAACGAGGAGGAGGAAATTATCACGGCTCCCTCCCCCGAGCCCGTGCCCTCTGCCGCCGCCGCGCCCCTGGGCAGGGCCGCCGCGCTGCTGGCGGCTGCGCTGCTGGCCGCCGCGTTCCTGTGAGCGCGCTAGCGCATGCGCGTGACGTTTGCACAGCGCCCGTGATGCGACGCGCTGCCGCTGTTGCCTCACTGTTCCACAACTGCCATCTCCCATGTAAGCAGTACTGCGTAACCTCCCCTCTAGGGGTGCAACCTACACCATTCAGCACCGCTCATGCCCGCACCTTCACCCCTTTTCTTCATTTCTAGCCTTCTTCTCGCCGATCAGCGTCGCCTGTATCGATGCATCTGTTGGAGTAAGAGTCCACCGGCGCCTGCCTGCCTCCCATGTGCGCCTTCATCGCACCATGTAAGCCCGCCGGGCGCGGACGTCTCAGCTGTGGCTGGAGGGAAGTAGCTGACTCCAGGTGCCTGCGGCACCTGGAGTCATCATGGGATCGGCGTACCTGCTGCACCGCTATCCCAGTCCTGCTTGTGCCGGATCGTCAGCATTTGGATCCTCCTTCACTCACATGGAACCCAAGGCCGCTCGTGAGACCTTCTTTGCTCTCGCCCCCAGGCAAGCATGGGCAACCCATTGCCACGAACAGCCGGTGCCCACTGTGTGGTGAACCCGACTCTGGAGGGCATGTTCTGCTACGATGCACCCACCCTCAAATGAAGGCCATGCACATTCACCGGCACGACAGCGCAGTGCGCATGATACACACAGCCCTCCAAAGGGGCAGCTGTCACGGCAATGCCTACTCTGTGTTGGATGCGTGCAAACAAGAGGAACTTGAAGGGCTGACAGCCGACGCCAAACGCCTCCCCCGGTGGCTCCTGCCAAAAAATGTTGCACACGACGACACTCTATGCAGAATGCGCCCCGACATCCTGCGCATCCTGGGGCTGCCAGGGGCGCCGACGACTGAAGAAATCCAGCATGCAGTCAGCAACAAGCACCGTCACACTATACAAGTAGTGGAAGTCGGCTACTGCTCTGACACGCAGTGGCGGGCCAAAGTGGCAGACAAACTGCAACAACATGAACAACTCATGATAGCCCTAGAGCAGGCCGGTTGGCAAGTGGACCGGACACCTCACATCATTGTCATTGGAGCACGCGGCGCCATCTATCACAGTGGCCGTGAGGCCCTGCTGAAACTGGGTCCCAGCAAAACGCAGGCTAGCAACGTATTGATTGACATCCACCTGCATACAGTGCAAGCAGTATACGACCTCTCACTGGCCAGACGGCGGCTCGAGCGGGGCCACCGTCAAGTGGGGGTAGGCTAGTGGCCAACCCCCCCACACCCACACCCAATGGTAGCCGGCAGGGTGGGCCTCCGGGCCTGCACCCAGCTGGCTTCCTCAATCCACGCCCAAGGGCGTATTCTTTCTTTCTTTCTTTCTTTCTTTCTTTCTTTCTTTCTTTCTTTCTTTCTTTCTTTCTTTCTTTCTTTCTTTCTTTCTTTCTTTCTTTCTTTCTTTCTTTCTTTCTTTCTTTCTTTCTTTCTTGCTCTCGCGCTACGGGCCTCCCTCACGTGTCATCCAATGTTTTCAAGAACGACACCGGCTTGGATGTTCATGCCTTCAGACCGAGGAGCAGCATTCGACAGTCGCTTGAGCAGCATTATTTCAACCACATATTGGAAGCTCGTATCAACCAGGGGGATGGGCGAAGGGAGCACAGATGCCCCTTCCCCTTCCGCAGGCGGGACAGGCGGTATGCATGCTGCATGGGTTCCTTGTTCACCTGCTGGCCCAGCGCGCCGGTCTCGATCTTCTCCTTCCAGCAGCTCGCATTATAACACAGGCCTCATCAGCAGAAGCGAAAGCGGCCGCCATGATTCACCCGATCAGACGGGCAGCGAGCCTGTTGCAACCTGGTTCCTGGCTGGTGTCTCCCCAGCTGCGAATCGCGCTCAACATTGCTAGCATGGGGGCTGTGGCCTCCGCCAGCCTCCGTGGGTTGGGTCTTTCGGCCCAGTTGTTTCGCTGTGCCGCCTCATTCTTCTTATCGTGGTTTTCGCAACACACGGATGACTCGGATTACGTGCAGACAGCCGTAGGTGATGGTCGCCTGCGCCGGTTGGTCTCAACGCCCGCCGCTGCCGCCGCCACCGCCGTCGCACTGAATTTCAGAGGCACCTGCCCACCTAATGTGATTGCCACCTTGCTGTGCAGGCCTTCTCATGTTTCATGATAGCTGGTTGCTGTCGTGGACATTTGCTGCGATTTTCCACTGGGCTACCTGGGAGCGAATTTGCGGCAGCAGGGCTCTCGGCGGCAGCGGCAAGCCTCGAACCATCTTCCCTCAGTTCCTTCTGTACTGGGCAGCGTATTGGATGCCGGTGCTGCGCAGTTGCACCTACCTGGTATCTGTGCTCCTAGGAAGCATTTCAGCTGGTCTGCCTGCAGCGGCGCTGCTAGATTGGAAGGTTGCGGCACGGCTGGCGTTTGTCTTTCTTAACCTGGAGCGTTGGCTGCTACGCACGTTATTAGAGCAATGCATGCTTCGAGGCGCAAGCCTCGCCGCCTGTCAGCAGGTGCAGGCAGAGGCGCAGCAGCGGGCTGGCGACTTTGGGGCCTGGCCGCTGCACATCTGCCGCAACCTGCTGCACCTGCTCTTCCCACGAGTGAGTGTTTTCATTGTGCCAGGCACATGGTGAACCTTCTTGAACTGGTGGCGGGAGCCGCTCGCCTGCTGACATGCTTAACCACGCCAGTAACCACCTGTGCATCAAATCCACCGGACGCAATGACGGCTTACCCTGCCTGTGCTGACACTCAGGCGGCTCCGCACCTGGGCCCCCAAGGTGTTACAGTCACCCCGCTATGATAGGCCGCGTGAGCAGACCTTGGGCAGGGGGCACACGTGATCAAGGGGCATCAAGAGAGGGGGTGGACCATGGAGCACCCTCTCCATGGCTCCGACCACCCTCCCCCCAGCTGAGCGTCCCAGGGTCACCCCACCCTGGCCCCGCTCCCCGTCCTGCCGGACACGCAACCCCCACAACGTGGTGGGGGACGTGGGGATCCTTAGCAGCTTAGGCCTGCCAGGCCGACGGGTGCCGATGCTGGTGCGGGCTCCCGGCGGCAGGCAGCGCCGCCGCCGGGCACTCAAATGGCATGGGGCACATGGGCCCCCATGCCCGCACATCTCCCAGGCACATGAAAATACCAGAAGGCTGCACATGTAAGGGTGCATGCATTGCAGGCAGGAGTGCAAAGTGGCCTGCCGCGGCGGTTGGCTGTGCCATTACTCAATCAGCCGCCGCTACCGTGCCGGGCTTGGCGTTCCCATGCCAACATGCCGGCGTGCCATCGCGCAAGGGGCCAGTGAGTGTGTGAGGTGGAGGTGGGGGTGGTGGGGCTGCCGCTGACCGCTGCTTGCTGACGCTGACGCTGCTCTTACCTGCGGGGGGAGGGGGTGGGTCGGGAGCCAAGGCCGGGCAAAAGATGCCTGGGCCCTACTCAAGGGAACCGGGGGAGTCACTGTGCCAGTGCAGCAGCATGCTCCTCATGGCACCGGTCGGCAAACCGGGCCAGCCGGCCCTGCCTGGCCTGGCCGAGGAAGGCGGCCAGGGAGGGCAAGGCGTGGCCGGGACTATGGAAGAGCTCAGCATACTCCTCCCTCAGCCCAGCGTATAGGGGGCAGTCATACACTGCGTGGCGTACGTCCTCTAGAGGGGCCTGGCAGTGGGGGCATGGGCGCTGGGTGCGGTCCAGCCGCTGCCACCGGCCTGTCTCCTCAGCCATCCAGTGCGACCCCGTGCGCCACTGCGCCAGGCGCACCCGGCGCCGGCGCTCGGGCACATCGCACAGGAACGACGCAGGCGTGTAGGCCTCCGCAGAGATGCTGCCCCCCCACACGTCCTCAATGTACCGCTGCACCTTCACGGATGCATGCGTGTACGAGGCAACATGGCGCTCCAGGAGCGCTTCCGCCAATTCAGGTATGGCAACCCCCTCGTCAGCAGTCAAGTCGCAGGGGGTGCCGGCCGCCGCGAGAACGCGGCTAACCTGCGCTGCCCAGGGCTGCCGGGCCAGTGGCAGCCCTGTGTCCGTGTCGGCAGCCAGCGCAACGCTATCCAGCATGGCAAGACGGGCGACCCGCTCGCCGCCCATAGCCTGCAGGTTGCTCACAAAGCGTGCAACCTGCAAGGTCCAGTAGGCGGGCAGCGGCAGCTGCCCCGTCTCTGCCAGCACAGTGAGGGCTGGGGTGCTGTCCCGTACACCCAGCAGCCCTCGCAGGTACTCCAGCTGTACCCGCTCGCATGCCGTCCTGCCCTGCAGAATCAGCTGCGGCGCCCAGATCTCTGCCCCGTACGACAACGTCGGCAGGACGTAAGACTTGAACGCACGCATGCTGAGCAGGGGGTCCTGCAACCCATTCTCGGCCAGGCGGCGACGCAGCAGGTGCATCGCGCGCCGCCCAGCCTCCGCCCGATACGATGCCGCCGAGGCAAAGGCCTGCCGGCAGTGCAGGTGCACGCCGAGGTATCTGAAGGTGGGGACGGTTTCCACCTCATTGCCGCCGTAGCGGAACCGCTCCTCCGTGGCAGCAGCCCTGCCAGCGGTGTACACTACCACCTGGGTCTTTTTGGTGTTAACCGTCAGGCCCCAGGCGGCACAGTAGCTCTCAAGGTAACCAAGCTGGAAACGCAGGCCTGCCGGCGTGGTGGCCAGCAGGGCCTGGTCATCAGCGTAAAATAATGGCGGCACGCACTCCCCGCTCTGCCAGCGAGGCAGAGCCGCGGCCGCAGCCTGTTGCACCAGCCCGAACTCGAAGTCATCCAGGAACAGACCGAACAATATAGGGCTCAAGGGGCAGCCCTGCTTGACCCCTGAGGTGGCCTGAAATGTGGGCGTGTACCCACCAGGCACTCGTACGCACATGGGAACCGCCGCATAGAGGGCCTGCACCGCCCGCAACGCCCAGCCTCCCAAGCCGGCGCTCTCCAGCTTCTGCCACAGCAGATGCCGCGGGACCCTATCAAAGGCCTGCTTGAAGTCCACATAGCAGGCATACAACGGCTGCCCACGCGCCCGCTGCCGCTCAATGATGGCTCGCAGTGCAAGCTGCTGGTCACGGCAACCGTACCCTGGCCGGAACCCCGCCTGGCCAGATGCCCGAATGCCCGCCGCCTCAGTGTGGGTTGTAAACCTGCTCTGAAGCATGCTGGCAAACAGCTTGGCCGGCAGTGTGCCCACGGCAATGCCGCGGTAGCCGTCACAGCGCAGGTGGTCCGCACCAGGCTTGCGGATCGGTGTCAGCGCACTGATCGCCCAATGGGCCGGCAACGCCCCAATCCGTACACAGGCGTTAAGCAGCGCGACGAGCGAAGGGCCTAGCTGCTTGATAGCACCCTTCAACATCTCCGGCTTCAGGGCACCCAAGCTGGCTTTGCTGTTCTTCGCTCGCTGCGCCATCTCCGTCAATTCTGGGAGAGTGAATGGCTCATGCAGTTGTTGATGTGCCGGTGTCAACTGTGGGGCATGAGCACGGCCTGCCACGGCGCCCGCCGCCTGCGCCGCGCCCGCGGCGGCGGCAGGGGCGGGCCTGCCCGCGGCAGCCACGTGTGTGTAGCCCAATAGTGACCGGAAGTGGCCGTTCCAATCACCGGCCGTGATGGAGGGGTCCGCGCCCTCCCCCTTGCCCTTGAGCAGCCTGTGGAAGGCAGCCGGGGCATCGAATTCGAGCCGTGCCAGGTCACGACCCCTCTTGCGCTTCACCCCAGCGACCTTTCCCACTGCCCCTAACACTCCGACTGCTCAGGGCAGCAGAGCAGGCAGAGCAGGAGGCTGGATACATAACGGCTCCAGGTGCTGTGAATCATGTTGGCCTCTATCTCTGGGCATGATGTGGCTGGTCACTTGGTCAACCCTGCTATGAATGGCTGCCTGAGCGTGCTGCAGGGAACGTGGATGTGTCGTTGGTGGAGCAGCTGCAGAACCACCTGCTTTTCAACACGTACATGCATATGAGCGTGCCCGTTCTGACTATTTCAGGTGGGTGCGGAGCGGCACATCTGCTGTACAGGGCCAGTGCCGCCCAGCCCCAGACCGCTCTGCCTGCTGCTGCCCCGTGGCCTGCAGGGATTCTGAGTGAGGTCACCATGTTGAGGATCCACCTGTGCTCCTTGCTGGGCGTGCTGGTGGAGGGGCGCCGCTTCCTGAGAGGCGCACGCTATGCGGCTGCCCACCGTGTGCTTTACTCGGGGCTAGCTGGCAATGAGCCAGCAGGCAGCATCCCCTCCACCAGCAACACTACACGCCGCCGCAGCACACGTCCAGCAGCGGCATTCCCCCGTGCCCGCCGGTCCCGGGCTGGATGGTTTGGCTTCGGGTGGCGCTGGCTGGCAGCCGGCGTCAGGAGGGCATGCGACTGGCGGCAGCTGCTGTGCATGCTGTGCCTGCGGCTGGCGTCTAGGTGGCGCGGCTGGTGGACCAGCAGGCCCGTCTGGACGTTGACGCTTGCTCAGTGGGACGATCAAGAGTTTGAGCTGCTTGCAGATGTGTTTAATACAGCCATGCTTCACGTGCTGGGAAGGCTGCTGACCTCTGGCATCGACTCCACCTTTCTTCAGCACTCCTTCGGTATGTTATGCGCAACACCCTCTGGCTGTGTGCTCCTGCAGTGCCTTCTGCGTCTGTATGCAGCCGCTTGGGAATTTGCAATGCGCTGTGCATGCTGAGCGTGAATAAGGTGCTTGGCACTGGGGCTGCTGAGCCTCCCTCTCCCTCCACCCCGCAGGCATTTTCTTGATTTGCGACCAGCTGGCCATGAGGGTTGTAACATTCCTGCCGCAGTGGGAAGACGCAATTTATGGCGCATGCTTCTTGGTGTATGGGTGGAGCCTCTTGTGGAGCCTGGTATGGCGGCACCAGCAGCAGGCGGCGGCTGCTCAGCTGCCAGCAGCGGGCACACTCGGCATAAACCAACCGCGGTGGCCCGGCATTTCCTGGGCTGCGGTGTTCAACCCTGTCAGTGGCGACAGTGGCGGCGGCAGCGTCTGGTGGCAGCGGGCCCAGCGTGTCGCCTACTGCCTGATGTCGCTGGCCTTCTGGGCAGCAGCAGTGGAAAGAGTACTGGCACCAATCGCCCGTGCTGGGCGGCGGTCGGGCCGCCTGCGCAACCTGCCGGATGCACTGCTCAGCGTACTGCCCCACCTTGTGGTGGTGGTGCTCTCCCTGGAGGTCTGGGTGTGGCAGTCTCTGTCAGACATGGTAGCGGCAGCGCACGGCATCTCCCTACTGCCCCGACTGCGCACGCTGCTGCCGCCGCCTGGACCAGCCGACTGCTGGCCGCTGTTCATCCTGCGCAGCCAAGTGCACCTGACTGTCATGTCTGTAAGTGGGTGCCACTCCTGCTGCTGGTGCCCGATGCAGCTAGCTTCTTACCTGCTGGGATGCACTAAGCTTGCTGCCACCTTTCCAGCTGCCTCCCCACCGTGCCTATGCCAGTATCGCCCTCCCTGCCTTCCATCCCCGATTGACATGCGCTGGCCCCTTGCCTGCCTGCCTGGCCACCCTTTGTCTTCACAGCTGTCCAACCTGCAGCCTGAGGACCTGGGGATGGGACCTCCCCCCTACCTTCTGTCCTACGGCATGCGCGTTTTGACTCTCACAGAGGACGCCATGTTTTCAGGCACGCACTCAAGCCTGGAGCGGCCCGCGGAGGAAGCGATACCTTTCTGCGAGCCTCTCATGCTGGTTGCAAGTAAGCTCCCCTGCCCGATGCTTCCACCTGGCGCCTACATGAGGATCAGCAACAGCATGCTTGCCACTGCCACAGTCACACAGAGGACTTTTTCCTTGCTGGTTGTTACATCCACCCCACCAACCTGGCACTAAAACCTTTGGAGAGTGTTTGTCTGCATCATAAAGGCGGCACTTGCACGGGTGCTGCCACCTCGCGACCCTGGCCAAGCTGTGCCTGTCTCCACAGCCGCTGCCCGCCAGTCAGGAGCTGCCGTGGCGCAGGAAGATGCACAGACGCACAGCCCACACGGCAGGCAGGGGCGCATGCATGAGACGGAAGCAGGGCGGCAGCAGAGCCAGCAGGCAGTGGGTGGCATCGGTGATGCAGCAGGGCGGACGGCAGGAGCAGCAGCTAGGCAGGCTGCACCTGCTGCAGCTGCAGCTGACGCAGGTGGAGCAGCAGCGGTGCAGGAGGCCATACAGGAGGAGCCTGTCGCTGCGGCGGCGCCGCCACCGGCAGCTGAGGAGGCTAGCCTGGAGGGTGTGGCAGCACCACCGGCGCCCTCATCACAACCACCACCGCCATCCAGGCCGCATCGCCGCTGTGCGGCATGTGGCGCCACCGAAGGCAGCCAGGGGCATCGCGTGCGCAAGTGTTCTGCCTGCAGGCAGGTGTACTACTGCTCCACTGAGTGCCAGCATGCCGACTGGCCGGCTCACAAGAAGCTGTGCTGCTATCTGCGCGGCTGATAGCAGCAGAGCCAGGGTTTGGTCAAGCTCCACCATCGTAGCCACCGGCAGCTTTGGTGTGGTGGTTGTGTTGGCGCATGCATGTTTCTGATCTTTTGTTGCTTGTTCGATCTGCACAGACTGGTGTTGCCACATGTGAAATCTGTTGGCAGCCGGCACAGAATGGGAAAGATGAAGGAAAGCGCATGCGGGGGGCCGGCAGTCAGCGGCAGGGTTTGCCCGACGCAAGGCGCCGTGCTGCGGGCCAGCTGCAGCAGCAGCAATGCGCCCCCACGCGGATAAAACCTGTGTATTTGATGGCCAAAGCTTGCATAAGACCGGCGAACCCTGTAAATGATCCGTCGGGGTGGCCTGGTAGCTGCAGTAGGTGCGGGGCACCTGGGCGCGCTCCTGTGGCGCGTTGTGAGCCACAGGTGCTCGGGACACTTGAAACCGCCTCCTTTTTTCGAAATCCACCACCGATTTTGCTATTTATTCACATTTTCGCACGCATTTAGGCCGCGGCTAAGAAAGGCCTTCTTTGAAGGCGCTGGAGCTAGTGTCTAAACCCTCCGAGAGGGCACAGGTTCGATTCCTCCCATGTCGAAACTTTGTGAGGACAAACGCGGCATAGCTGACCGGCTCAGCGCCAATCCAAGCCAATTCCTTCGGGAACGCCTAATAGAATCGCCAAGGCTTCGGCACAGGCCTCCCCGGGACCCATTCACTACTAGTGGGGGGTACTGCACTTGGCGCGTCGGGCAGATCAAATAATGGTCTAAAGCTAGACGTTAAAACCGGGAAGTGAAGCTTGTGGAGGCTCTTCCCCACCTTTACCTTTACCTTTACGCTAGGTGTTGTGTTTGTGGTCGAGGCCTTCCTCCCCCATCTTCGAGGCCCATCACCAGCGCCATCATGCAGCCCAACTCAAACCCCTGCCGCCTGGCGGCGCTCCTCCTGTGCTGCATGGCGCTGGGAGCCCAGGGACAGAGGTGGACCGCAATGCTCGACGGCGCAAACCAGGTGAGGCGGGGTGCAGGAGGTAGCGTGCCGGCGCCTGGCGGCACACCCCGCCATGGCCGCCACACAGGCACCTGCCTAGCCAGCCAAACTTGCCGGGACCCGGCCCATGTTGCTGGGAAGGGGCGCGGAGCCGGATGCAAGAAGCGCTGGCTCCCCGCCACGGTCTGACCCGGCCACCTTCCGCCGCAGGTGCCGCCGCTCTCAGAGCCAGAGGTGGGCGGAGCCACAGGCATGTTTGCCATGTGGGCCGCCCCTGGCAGCATGATGGAGTACTCCCTGGAGGTCTCAAGTGAGCGGGTGTGGGCGGAAACCCAACCAAATTGCCCCCACAAGCAGAACGGCAAACGCCTGCCCGCCCAGCACGCCGCCAGCTGGCGCCAGCCTCCCAAAGCGCTCGTCGCCCACACCAGCTCAAGCATGCGTGCTCCACCAGCAAGCCCTCTGTGACGTCCACCCCCTGGCCGCCGGCCGGCATCCACACGCTTCATGTGCCTGCCCCCTGGCCTGCCTCCCCGTGCTTTCTTGCAGGCATCCAGAACCTGACCATGGCTCACATCCACGTGGGCAACGCCTCCACCAGCGGCCCCGTGGCCGTGGTGCTGGTCCCCCAGGGAGGCATGGTCATGGTGAGAGGGGGCGGGGTAGGTAGGGATGTATCAACCGAGGGTTCAGCAAGGCAGGAGGGGGTAAGGAGAGGAGGAGAGACCCTCACCTGCCTCCCGCTGCCCTCCCCATGCAGGACGGCGCCCCCCCCGTGCTGCCCGAGCCCGTGTCTGGCTCTTACGCCATCCCCTCGTAAGCGCCCGCTGCCGCCGCTGGCTCGCTGCCGCTGACCCCTTGCTGCGCCTCCTCCTGGGGGGAGGCAGGCTCGGTGCTTTGTTCCCTGGCACACACCTGTCGCTGTGGCCCTCCTGGCCCCTCCCCGGGCCTCATCTCGTCCCCCTGCCCGCTGCCTGCTTTCCTCTCCCCGCCATGCAGCGCTTTCTTCACCGCGGACGACCTGATCAACGGCATGAGCTGGGAGGAGTTCCTGGACGCCGCAGACAGCGAGGGCCTCTACGTGAACCTGCACACCACCGCCTACCCCGGCGGCGCCATCCGCGGCCAGGTGGTGCCAGGTGAGCAGGCCGTTGCCTGGGTGCTGGGCTTGCAGATGCGAGCTCTCTCACAGCTGCTGCCGTGCCGCGTGCATGCACGCATTTCCTCCATGCCATCTGCTGGTCCGGCCGAGCCGCGTCAATTAACGCATGGCAACGTGCCTATCTCCACTGCCGCAGAGCTGGACCTGATGTTTGAGGCTACGCTCAACGGCGAGAACCAGGTGCGGCGCCGGACAGCACTGCGCTGTGCATGCTGCCCTGCTGCCACCACAGCCGCCTGCTGCTCTGCGGCGCGACCGGGGGATGCCACGCACGCGCTGGCCTGCGCCTGCCTGGCATCTCATGCCCTGCCTCGCCCCATTGACCGTGCCACCCTCTGCCACCGCGTACTTCCATCCCCACCGCCACCTGGCCCGCAGGTCCCCCCCGTGACCACCGCCGCCACCGCCATGTTTATGATGATGGAGGACGACATGGGCATGTTTGCCTGGGAGCTGACCATCAAGGGTGGGTGACTGGCAACCGCCGTGTCACAATCGCAGCCCCTGACACTTGGCACAGTGGTGGACCTCTGGGACAGTGCCTGCCGGGAGCTGCGAGCTGCCCAGCCAGCCAGCAGGAGCTGCTTGCCAGCCAGCCTGCTTGCTTGCTGCCTTCTGCCTGCCTGCTGTCCTTACCATGCCCGGGCTGCCCCCACTGCAGGCATCGAGAACCTGACTATGGCTCACATCCACGCCGGCAACGCCACCAGCAGCGGCCCTGTGGTGGTGGGCCTTGTGCCGGTCGACCCCGCGGAGGTGGGTGGGTGGCAGGTGGCGGGGTGTGGGTTGATGTGATGTGTTGTTGGTGGGGTGCGTAGCGGGGAGGCGCGGCCTGCCATCGGCTGCTCCAGTCTGCAGCCCAGGCGGGCAGGGAAGGTGGGACAGGGAGGGTGGGAGCGCGCCAGAGAGTTGCCGTGGCTGAGGTGGAGCGCTAAGCTGGCACAGCGCGTGCTGCCCGCAGGCCATGCTGGCGGAGCCCGCCTCGGGCGACCTCTCCTACACCGGCACCTTCTCCGCCGACATGCTGGCTGACGGCATGACGGCCGAAGACCTGCGCACCGCCCTGCGCTTCGACACCGAGAACAACCTGTGAGCCGCCGGCATGACCAGTTTCGGCCTGCGTGTCGCCTGCAGAGGCGCCCAGCTGGGCTGCCCGCCTGGCTGCCGCTGCTTGACGCCTGCTCGGCTCGGGGATTCCAGCTGCCAAAGCCTGGCACACCTCTCACCTTGCCCCCACTCCCCACACGTCCCCTGCCATGCAGCTACGTCAACCTGCACACCACTGAGTTTCCCAGCGGCGTCATCCGCAGCCAGGTCATGTGGAAGGGCGTGGCGACCTCCGTCCCGGCTGAGGCCCCCGCCCCCGAGGCCACGCCCACCACGTCTGCCGCCGCCGCCACCAGCGGCAGGGGCGCCATCCTGCTGCTGGCGGCCGCGCTGGCAGCCGCGTTCCTGTGAGGCACGTAGTGGCCAACCGAGGATGTGAAGCACGCCGAGGATGTGAAGCGCGCCGCACACACACCACCACCACTCTGGGCTGCCTTGGGATAGCTCACAACTGTAGTGCAGTAAGGTATTACCCACGCTCTGTCCCCACCGCATCACGGATCAGTACCAAAAGTACCACCATCCTCGCTATCCTCGCCCTGCATTCATCATTCATTCATTCTTCCCGATCAGACCCTTTCAGTGAACCCCCGCAGACCTGCCTGCCTGGTTGTTGTGCCCGACGGTGCGTCCTGCCCGCGGCTTTTCCCCTGCCATCCCTGATTCTTGATTTCCCCGTTTGAGAAGATTCTGCCCACCCGCAGCATCCTTACGGTCATGCTTGACCCCCTCCCCTTCAGCAGCTGGCTTTCCCTGCCACTCTGACCTCGCCCTGCCCCACCTAGCAATGTTGGCAGCGGAGCCGGTGCACCATGCCCAGCTGTGAAACCATCTGATGTAAGCAATCGGATCACACAGTGAATCATAATCACAAGGATACGGCGTGCTCTAGTCCGCCCCCGCCTGCGCCGTGCACACCCGCTTGTGGGAGGCAGCCCAGTCTGCGTGCTGGCAGTCGCGGCCGCAGTACCAGACCGCCCCGCAGCGGGCGCAGGCCTTGAGGGGCGCCCCCGCCTGGCGCGCCGACTTGGAGCAGGGCGGGTTGGAGCAGATGAGGCTGTCTCGGCCGCGGCGCAGCCGCATCTCCCGCGCCTCTGCCGTGCGCCCCGCCGCCTGCAGCACGCACCCCAGCTCGTCCCGGGTGATGGCGGCGTCGTGCGACTCTGCCGGGCGCGCCTCCCGGATCTGCAGCGCCGCCCGAAGCATGGTCTCCGCCTCCTCCAGCGCCCCGCGCTGCTTCAGCAGGCGGCCCAGGCTGTTGTAGGTGGTGCCGGTGGAGACGCTGGAGGCGCCCAGCGTGGCCAGCTTGACTGCCAGCACCTCGCGGTGCAGCCGCTCCGCCTCCTGCGCCAGCCAGGGCGGGCCCGAGGGATGCTGAGCGGCGGAGCTGAGAGGATGCCATTGCACTGCAGGCCCAAGTAGCTGCGCGTGCCACCTGTGGGTTTGAGTCGCTCAGCGCTTCGGCATAGTTGTGCTTGCTCATGGCGGTGGCGGGGTGGCGAGGCCCAAGGGTGCGCTCGTCTGCGGCGGCGGGCAGGAGAGCGCCGGCTAGTCGGGCGGCAGCGGCAGGACGGGGCCCGCTGGTTCGGGCGTGCAGCATCATGACACAGCTTCGACTTGCAAGCTCACCCCGCTCCATTTGCTGGCGGGCCCTCTCCAGCCCCCCTCCCATTGACATGCCGCTGTGGAACATGCATCCTCTGCTGCCGATGTGGAAGATTCAACACAGGGGAGGTCAGAAAGAGCTAAGCCGTGGCATTATATCCCGCTCAGGCCACTTAAAATTCCAGCTCAGCTCAAACCGCGGCCTGGGCCAATTTCCAAAATTCGGAAAACCGGGCGCCATCCACCCCATCTCGAGACAATCATGGGATCAGCAAGAGATCGCCGGGCCACGCTACCATCATTGAACTCCCCGATTCCCTGCTGCTGTCAGTTTTCGGGCGCCTGGATCCGACCCAATGGTGAGAAAACGCGCAATCCAAGGGCAGCGCTGCTGGAGACGCTGGGTGACGCTGGCACCGTCCAGCTGGGTGACGCCGGCACCGGTGCCGTGGCTCCCCGCCGCCCAGAAACCCAGCACACGCTCGTGTGTCTTCGAGGCCCGCCTCTAGATCCCCGCGCGCTAGATCTCCCCGTTAGATCTCCCCGCGCGCTAATTGGCTCGCCATGCTGTTCAGGCGTCGCCACATCGGTTGCCCCCGTTTGCCCCACCGTTAGGGGAGATTCATTGCCATCGCCTCCTCCCCGCTTTGTCCATGAAATGATGCCAGGGCAGCGCCAGTTGGAGGGTCAACATATGGGAGCACCAAGGGTCTGCAGCATGGTGGTTCTGTGCCAAACACGCTGGCGTTGCCGTCTGTGCACGAGGCGGAGACTGTATTACAATGTGTGCTGCCACCGCTCAGCGGCGGGTGCAACAGCAGAGACACGCCACTTCAGATTCCTGAGGCGTGCTTAACAACAGGGCGAGGGCAAGGGAGCGAGGACAGGCTCGCCGCCGCTGCCCAGCGCCAGCGCTCAGCGCTGTCCTGTGTGGGCCTTCACAAACGGTTGGGCCAACAGCAGCAGATGGCAGTCCCGTGGAAGGGTTGGCTTGGCCACCACAGTGCATGGCTGGGCAGCGAAACCGGTGGCCTGTCGTGGCTGGGGCATGTGGTGGTAGGGGGCCCTAGTATACAGTTGGGCACGACGAGCGGCGGCACTGCGAGGGGCTCAGGCCGCAATGCGCTCCACTTCATCCGAGGCCTGCTCTATCCGCTGCTCCATCAGCGGCCTGCAGCGCAGCGGTGGCACAGGCGAACACAGCCCAGATGAGGAGCAGCAGGCGAGGCGCGGCATTGGCGGCCCACGCATCTCGAGCTCCCATCACGCCTTCACACAACCACTGCCTCCCGCCTCAGCCCCGGCAGCCAGCTGCCAGACTGCCTATCCCTGCCTCGCAACCCTGCCTGCCCATCTCTGCCCGTGTCTGCGTGCCAGCCTGCCCGCATCCCCGGCCGCGCTGCGCGCGCACCTGAAGTGGCGGATGAGGCCCTGCACGGGCCACGCCGCGGCGTCGCCCAGCGCGCAGATGGTGTGCCCCTCAATCTGCTTGGTGAGCTCCCACAGCATGTCAATCTCCTCCACCCTGCAGCAGCACGCAGGAGTGGCAGGTCCTCCACACGAAGTGGAAGGGTCCACAAGGCAGGGACGGCAAAAGGGACGCACGGATGCGGATGCGCCTGGGCACGCGGCGGCATGCCAGACGCAGGCTCGGCGACGGGGCCAGGGATGCCCCAGCAGGGCCATGCAGCAGCTGCTGACCTGGCGTCTCCCTTCTTCATGCGGGTCATGATGTCGTACAGCCAGCCGGTGCCCTCGCGGCACGGCGTGCACTGCGGGTGGGAGGCCGGCACCGCGTCGGGTGGTTGCGAGTCAACACAGCAGAACGCCCCCCTTGTGCAAGCAGCAGCCCAGCATAGGAGGGCGGCTGAGGGGGGCTGCGCGGCTGCCCGCAGTCTCCCCCCGGGGCGCAACGCCTGCGAGGCGGCCACCACCAGCAGCAAAGCGGGAAAACAGCACAGACGCCGGCGCCGGGCTGAGCTGGCACACGCTGAGCTGGCACCCACCTGGCCGCACGACTCGTGCTTGTAGAAGTAGGACAGGCGGGCGATGGCCTCGATCGGGTCGGTGCTCTTGTCCATCACCATCACCGCAGCGGTGCCCAGGCCCGACTGCACGGCAGCGGGTGGCGGGCACGGCGGCGAGCAGGGGCGAGGGTGAGCAGGTGCGAGGGTGGGCAAGGAGCCAGCCAGCCAGCAAAGGAGGGAGGGAGGGCAGGGGCACACGCTTCACCACGGCGCCAGGCCATGGCGCAGCTGTGCACCGGCTGTAGGCAGGCAGGCAGGCGGGGCGCTCGTGCCCACCCACACGCCCACGAAGCTGGGGCCACAAAGCCAGCCAGCTAGTGGGGGCCGCCGCCGCCAGGCCCCACCTGCCGCTCCTTGAGCGCATCAAAGTCCATCAGCACATCCTCGCACTGCGCCTTGGGCAGCATGGGCACCGAGGAGCCGCCCGGGATGATGGCCAGCAGGTTGTCCCACCCGCCGCGCACGCCGCCCGCGTGGCGCTCAATCAGCTCCCTGAGGGCGGGCAGGGAGGGTGAGGCAGGTAGAAGGTGAGGCAGGATTCAGTGGCAGGTGGGGCAGGGTCCAGTGGAGGGCGGGGCACGGGCACAAGGCCAGGTGCTCCCGCCATCTGCCTTTTTCTGTTGCTGCTGCCTGCCTTCCGCTGCCAGCCGCCTGCCTCCCTGCTGGCCGCCGGCGCTGCTGCTGGCCTCCTGCCTGCCTCGCTGCCTGCCCTCACTTGAGCGAGATGGACATCTCTTCCTCCACAGTCACGGGGCGGTTGACGTGGCCCGAGATGGCAAACAGCTTGGTGCCGTGGTTGTTCTTGCGCCCAAACCCGGCAAACCACTCTGGTCCGCGGCGCAGGATGGTGGGGCTCACCGCCACCGTCTCCACATTGGTGACTGGGGAAGGGGTGGAGGGGAGGCAGGATGGCAGGGGTGACGTGGTGGGGGCAAGGGAGTGCACTTGGGCAGGGGCCGCCGCCACGCCCTTGGTGAGGCGGGCGGCGTGGAGCCCTGAGCAGCACAAGTGTGGCAGGCGGGGGCGGCTTCTCCGCTTGGTGCCTGCCGCGGCATGGCGGGGCCGCACCGGTGGTGGGGCAGCCGTAGAGGCCCACGTTGGCTGGGAAGGGCGGCTTCAGCCGCGGCTTGCCCTGCTTGCCCTCCAGAGACTCGATCAGCGCAGTCTCCTCGCCTGCAGGGCAGGGCGGGGGCGGGGTGCAAAGCACGCATTCAGAATGCGAGTCAGGATGGCGCCGCAGATGCGCCTGAGTAAGCGGCATACACAACCCGTTCGGCTGCCGATGTATGCCTATGCATTGGTCTCCCAGTCCACCGGGTGCAGTGAGAGGAGGCCGGCAAGGAAGCATGCTCAACCAGGCTGCGCGCTCCGATCAGCAAGCGATTAACTAATCGCCAACACATCAGCCTCACCACAGATGTAGGCGCCGGCGCCCCAGTGCACGTTGAGGTCGAAATCGTAGCCGCTGCCGCACGCATTCCTGCCCAGGTAGCCCTTGGCGTACGCCTCGTCTGCGGGAGGAAAGCGCGGGGAGTTGGAGGAAAGAACGCGGGAAGAAGGGCAGGGGTGAGGGAAGCAGGAGAGCACACCACGAGGAAGGTAGTGCATGCGTGTCTGCGTATATGCGGCATGCCAGCAGCGCCAGGGCCAGCAGAGGCAAGCCCAGCGCGGGCGGGCGGGTCGGCCGGAGCCCGCGTGGAAAGCGCGGCGCACCTATGGCCCGCATCACCGCCTTGCGCTCCTCCACAAACTCGCCGCGGATGTAGATGTAGCCCGCCCGCGCCCGCATGCCCACACCTGCGCAGCCGCAGCAGGCGGTGGGAGTCGGGTGGGAGCGCAGGGCAGGCGGGGGCCGCCTGCACCTTCCCTGCCACACACATGCCAGACCGCACACACGCGCGCGGCGTCCCAACACACTCTCAGCCACCCCAGCACCACCTCCACCCCACCACCTCCCCCACCATCCACCCCCGCTCGCTCTGCCCCTCCACCCACCCGCGATGAGGCACCCCTCCACCAGCTTGTGCGGCTCGTGGCGCATAATCTCGCGGTCCTTGCACGTCCCCGGTTCAGACTCATCCCCATTCACCACCAGGTACGAGGGGCGGCCGTCGGAGACCTGCAGAGGGGCCGACGGTGTGGGTGCCCAGGGCGTGGGTGGATGCCGGAAGGGCGGCCAAGCCAGGCCCCAGACGCTGGGCATGAGGCGACTGCTCGGACGTGGCCATGAGTTGGTGTGCCTGCCTCCCCGCGACTGCCAAGCGCCCGGCGCTGCCCCAGCGCCACACAGCCACACGCCGTGGCCGCAGCCGCAGCACCAGGCAGCGCCAGGGGCTGCAGGAGCGGCGGCGCACCTTGGGCATGAAGGACCACTTGAGGCCCGAGGGGAAGCCCGCGCCGCCGCGGCCGCGCAGCCCGCTCTTCTTCATCTGGTCCACCACCCAGTCGCTGCCCTTGGACACAATGTCCTTGGTGCGGTACCAGTCGCCACGCTTCTCCGCGCCCTGCGGTGGCACGCGTGGCAGCAGTGACCAGGGGCAGGCGTGAGAGGTGGAGGGGCTGGGGTTGGGCACTGCAGGCTGTCGGGTGCAGCGGCCAGCGAGGCGGCCGCGGCGGCGGCCTGGGACGGGCTGTTGCTCCGCGCCGGGGGATCAGGAAGCAGGGCGCCCTCATTGTGCGCTCATCGGCCAGCAAGCACAGCGTTGATGTGGTGGTGGCAGCAGCCACGGTTTCACAGCCTCCAGGCGGCTCGATTCGCCCACAGCGCACGCCAGCCAGGCATGCTGCCCCATAGCACTCCTCGCCTACTCCGAAACGCTGCGGCACCCCCACTCCCTCTCCCTCCAGGAGAAGCGGCGTAACTTGGGCGGCGCAGCCGCCGCCCCGCCCACCCGCGGCGCCGCTCTCACCTTGATGAACGGGTCATGGCGGCCGTAGATGTTGGTGAAAATGCGGTCCTTGTCCGCCAGACCCCCAAACGTGGTCCTCTCCGTCGCAGCGGCGGTGCTGTAGGCTCGCAGGCTGCAGGCGGGGGTGGGGCGGGGTTGTGAGCCACGCTGCGGGGGCCTGTGGCCATCCACTCATCGATCCACTTACCAGGTCGACAGCAGGTGGCCACTGCTGAGGCCCTTGCGGCCTGCAGACTGCAGGGCCATTGCTGGCAGCACCCGACCCTTCCTGGTCCACCTGCTGTTCGGGAGTCGCGATCGACAGCCCGCCGGGACGCCCAGGAGGCTTGGGCGAGGCAATATTCCCCTCCTTTCTTCAGCCCCCAAACCCGGCCATCGCGGGCCCATCAGGCCCCAGGAGCGCCCCGGCTGCTGTTCAGAGGCGCACGGGGTTTGGACGGTTGCCTGGGGAGCGTAGGAGGGCAGCCCAGTGCCACTTCTGAGGATGCTCCGCAGCGCAGCTCAGCGGCTGCTCTCTACGGTGGGTCAGAGCGCGACTATCACATCCAGGGATGCTTCAGAAGCAGCTAACAGGCTGCGTTGGGGTAGGGTTGCGATGGCAAGGGAACGCCCTGCTGCCAGAGCGAGGGCCGGGCCCCCACAAGGCCTGTGCGTCCGCCGGACAAGCTCTCAGCGCGGCCCTCCACCCGCTTGGCTGGCGGCCTGTAGGCGGCCCCCGCGGCGGAGCAGGCGGCGGGCAGGGCATGGTGGAAGGTCGGCGCTGCGGGCCTGGTGGCGGGCACTGCAGGCCTGGCGGCCGCATCCAGCATCGCGCTAGCAGACGAGGCCGAGCACGGCCTGCACGCGGCAGCCTTCCCCTGGCCCCATGAGGGATTCTTCAGGTGGGCGAGCTGCTGCTGTCGCCTGCCCTGAACGGGCCTCCGGTGTCCTGCCCCCCCTTGCCTGCTGCCACCCCTCGGCGCCCCGGTTCCCGCGAGGCCGCTGCCCGGCGACCTGCAGCCGGGGCGTTGCAGCGTGCACATCCAAACGCTCCTGCATCCCGCCCGCACTGCGGTCTCGCCTGCGCCGCTGCCTTCCTTCCTGCGCCCCCCAGGGGCGCCGCCCGCCCTCATCCTCAGCTCCCCACCATCCCCCGTGCCCTGCGCCAAACGCTCCCCGCCATCCACTTGCACCCCTGCCGTCCACCAGCCCCCCGACTCCGCCCACCCTTGCCCCCCCTGCCTCCCTCCCGCGCAGCTCGTACGACCACCGCTCCATCCGCCGCGGCTTCCAGGTGTACCAGCAGGTCTGCGCCACCTGCCACTCCCTGGACCTGGTGCACTACCGCGACTTGGTGGGGGTGGCGTACACGGAGGATGAGGCCAAGGCGATGGCGCTGGACATCGAGGTCACGGGTGGGTGGCAGCTGGGGTGGCAGCCAGCCTGCCGGCAAGGCTGCGAGTGTATTGCGCTGTGTCTGTTTTGTGTGTGTGTGTGTGTGTGTGTGTGGTGGGTGGGTGGCTGGGTGGATGTGGGTGGTGGGTGGTTGTGGCAGGGGTGTGCCGCGTGTGTGTGGGAGGACGGGGCCCTGGGGCCAGTGAGGTCGTTGGTGGGGGGCATGGAACCTTTCGCTGTCTGCCTGCGGCAGCTGCTGGCTGGCGCCTAGGGGTGGTTGGGGGACGGTGTGTGGCAGGAGGGCTGCGCTGGCGTGACAGGATGGGCTGGTGTGCGGCTGGAGGTGGGCAGTTGGTCGGCGGCAGGCGCAGGCAGCCTGCAGCTGCGGCCAGCAGCTGCGGCTGCAACCCTGGCCGCCGCCGCAGTGCTGAGTGGGCCCGCCGCCGCCGCCGCCGCCGCCGCCGCCGCTGGTGCTGCAGACGGGCCCAACGATGAGGGAGAGTCGTTTGAGCGCCCCGGCAAGCTGTCTGACAAGCTGCCGGCGCCATACATGAACGAGGTGAGGCTGGGCTGGCGCAGGGCCGTGTGGCAGCGAGGCAGGCAGGCAGCATGGAGGCAGCAGCTGCGAGCCCTCGTCCCCAGGAACAGGCAGCCCCTGGCCAGCAGGAGCAGGCAGCCTGCGTCCCCGCCGCACCTGCCCTGCCCCGCCTGCCCCTGCCCCTGCCCCCGGTCTCACTTGTACCGCAATGTACCGCAATGTACCGCCCGTGCCGCAGGAGCACGCGCGCTACGCCAACGGCGGCGCCTACCCTCCAGACCTCTCCCTCATCACCAAGGCCCGCCACGATGGCCAGAACTACGTCTTCTCGCTGCTGCTGGGCTACCGCGAGCCACCCGCCGGCATCTCGGTGAGATGCGATGCCGCGCCGTGCAGCGGGGGTGGGAGGCGGCAGCGAGAGGCCGCAGGGTGTGGGGGCGCGGCGGGGAGCGTGGGAGCGGCGGTTGCTGGGAAGGGTGGCCAGAAAGCAGGGCGGAAGGGCAGCGCGGCGGCCTGGGCCGGGCCGGGCCGCTTGCCGAGCCCGAGGCACGGAACGCTGCTGCGGTGTCGTGAACCAGCCTCCCCAACGCTGCCGCCCCCCGAAGCGGCGCAGGTGCGTGAGGGCCTGCACTACAACCCGTACTTCCCCGGCGGCGCCATCGCCATGCCCAAGATGCTCAACGACGACGGCGTGGAGTATGACGACGGCACGCCCGCCACCGAGGCGCAGCAAGCCAAGGTGCGGCGCTCGCGGTGCCGGCGGGCGCGGCGGCCTGGGGCCCTGGGCTGGGGCGCTGGCATGGCGCGCCCGGGGCTGCAGGCCGTCTGGGCTGCTGTGGCTGCAGGGGGCTGCCGCGGTGTGGGCCCTCTGCCAATTGTTTGATGCGCAGCTCTTATCAGCACCTCTGTGCTGTTGGGCCCTCTGCCTCGTGCTTGTGGTGACCCCTCCGCGCCCTGCCCCTGGGTGCCTGCTGTCCTGACCCCTCCGCCCCGCGCCCCCCGCGCTCCTCTGCCCCTGCTGCTGCCGCAGGATGTAGTGACCTTCCTGTCGTGGGCTGCGGAGCCCGAGATGGATGAGCGCAAGCTCATGGGCGCCAAGTGGATTGCGGTCATGTCGCTGGTGCGCCTCTCTGTCTGTTTTCTTTGTTGTTTGGTCGCTTTGCTTCGGTTGTGCGGCTTGGTGGCAGCCGCCCTGCTGGAGGAGTTGCAGCCATCTCTGCCAGTATAGAAGCTCACTCGCCAACCAGCAGCAGCAGCGTGTGTGGTGTGCGAGGGCGCAGCAGGCACGGGTCCCAGTTGGCGGGGCCTTCTGCCTGCTGTATTGCCCTGGCCTGCCGCCCCTCCCTCACCTCCTTTGCCCTCTGCCCTCTCCACGCCAGGTCTTCATCACCACCATCTATTACAAGCGCTGGAAGTGGTCCCCTCTCAAGTCGCGCCGCATCATTGTGGATGTGGTCAACTAAGCTGAGCTGGCGCTGGACTGGCAGCCTGGGCTCGAAAACCGGCGCGACCTGTCGACGGGCCTAGTGTTGGAATCGCCTGGATGTGGGCTGGAGGCCGGCTGTTGGGCAGGGGCCACCGTAGGCTGCTGCCTGCTGGCCAGGGCTCAGAGGAGCCTGAGCGGCGGCGGCCTTGCTCGTGTGCCCCCCTCACCCAGACCTGTGCAAAGGGAATGGTGCAAGGCGGCCACGAGCCCCGAGTGCCCTCCCTTCGTTGCTTCGCTACCTCTTGTGTTCCAAGCACTTACAGTTGGGAACAGACAAACAAACTCCACAACAGAGAGCAGCGGAAAGGCGGTCATTATAACAGCGGGCCATGTAACACACTCAGCAAATGGCTTCCAAAAACATTCTGTTGGACAACCCCTGAACGGGAATGATGGACGGTGTTGGGTGGCAACGCTGTGTCTCCAAAATCTCACGCCACGCGACAGCCGGCACGGCCTCGAATTGCAGGTACAGGCGCTGAATGCTGAGGCGGCGAGCCGCCCAGCGCACCATGCTGAGCATGCCGTCCTCCTCCTCCTCCTCCTCCTCCTCCTCCTCCTCCTCCTCCTCCTCCTCCTCCTCCTCCTCCTCCTCCACCTCCTCCTCCTCCTCCTCCTCCTCCTCCTCCTCGTACTCGTACTGCTCGTCCCCAAGCACCACCAACTCACACAGCTGCAGCACTTCCAACACTGCAAGGATCTTGCACAGATGGCCCCAATCTGCTGCCAGCCCACGCAGGTGGTGCAGGCTGGGAAGCGTGGTCGGGAGGTGCCCTAGCGAACCGCACAGCTCCAGGTGTGTCAGCTGCCGCAGGCGAGGCAAGGCTTGCTCCAGCATCACATAGTCCTCTTCAGGTGGGTCAGCCACCGCGAGAGACACAGGGAGGTCAGCTGGGACAGGCAGGCAGGCATGGTGCAATCCCACAGTACGAGCCGTTCCAGGAAGCCGAGGCGGGTGAGACAGACAGCGTCTTCGCAATAGCAATTCCTCAGCTCAAGGTGGCGCAGGTTGGTCAGGTTGCCAACCTGCATGGCGGGCAAAATCAGGTATGCTTGTTTTGCTTGTGTGGGCTTAAAGTCTGGTAAAGCAAGAACTAGCTTGCAACATAGACTCCCCGCCGAAACGGGACGGGAACCGGGCGAAAGCAGAGAAAGCAATAAAACAGGGGTGGAGCAAGGCGACATGCAACGCAAGCAGCTGACAGGGCACGCATCGAAACGTGTGTATGACTGGCAAAGTGGCATGGCGCATTGGGGAGAAACGCAACGGTACGGGAGCATGGGCTGGCCAAACGGCAGTGCGGAACGCTAGGTCACTAGAAAAGCAGGGAAAGGCGCACTATGTATGCAATGAGGGCAGCCCCGGCTCGGGGCCGTTAGAAAGCAGTGGGCGGGAGGGGGCGGCCCCGGTGTGGGCGGGCCCCT